ATTCATTTCTGGGTTTTCTATTCTGTTCCATTGATCTGTGTGTCTGTTGTTGTGCCAGTAATATACTGTCTTGATGATTACAGCTTTGTAATATACCTTGAAGTCCAGAATAGAGATGCCTCCAGCTTTGCTTTGGTTTTTCAGGATTGCTTTGGCTGTTCAGGGTATTGTGTGGTTCCATACAAATTTTAGGATTGTTTGTTCTAGCTCTGTGAAAGATGCTAGTGGTTTTTTGATTGAGATTTCATTAAATGTGTAGATAGTTTTGGGTAGTATAGACATTTTAACAATGTCTGCTCTTATAATCCATGAGCATGGAATGTTTTTCTATTTCATTGTGTCCTCTTCAATTTCTTTCATAAGTGTTCTATAGTTTTCAGAGTACAGATCTTTCACCTCCTTGGTTAGGTTTATTCTTAGGTATCTTATTGTTTTTGGTTCAATTGCAAATGGGATCGGTTCTTTTATTTCTTTTTCTACTGCTTCATTACTGGTGTATAGAGATACAACAGATTTCTGTACATTGACTTTATATCCTGCTACTTTACTGAATTCATGTATAAGGTCTAGCAATTTTTTGGTGGAGTCTTTTGGGTTTTCTTTTTTTTAAAGATTTTATTTATTTATTCATGAGAGACACAGAGAGAAGGAGAGAGACAGAGACACAGGCAGAGGGAGAAGCAGGCTCCACGTAAGGATTCTGACATGGGACTTGATCCCAGGACTCCAGGATCATGCCCTGGGCCAAAGGCAGGTGCCAAACCACTGAGCCACCGAGGGATCCCCTGGGTTTTCTATATAGAGTATCATGCATCTGCAAATAGTGAAAGTTTGACTCCTTTGCTGCTTTGGATGCCTTTTATTTCATTTTGTTGTCTGATTGCAGAGGCTAAGACTTCCAGTATTGTGTTAAATAGTAATGGTGACAGTGGACATCATTGTCTTATTCCTTTTTTTTTTTTTTTCATTGTCTTATTCCTGACTATAAGGGAAGGGGTTTCAGTTTTTCCACTGAGGATGCTATTAGCTGTAGGTTTTTTGTATATAGCATTTATGATGTTGAAATGTGTTCCTTCTATCCTTACTTTGTTGAGAGTTTTTTTTTTTTAAGATTTTATTTATTTATTCATGAGAGACACAGAGAGAGGCAGAGACACAGGCAGAGGGAGAAGCAGGATCCCTGCAGGGAGTCCAATATGGGACTTGATCCCGGGACTCCAGGATCTGGGCCGAAGGGAGGCACTCAACCACTGAGCCACCTAGGAGTCCCATGTTGAGAGTTTTTTTTTTTTTTTATCAAGAATGGATGTTGTATTTTGTCAAATGTTTTTTCTACATCTATTGAGAGGATCATATGGTTCTTATCCTTTCTTTTATTAATGTGGTGTATTACAATTGATTTGCAAATATTAAACCAGCTCTGCCACCCAGGAATAAACCCCACTTGATTGTGGTGAATAATTCTTTTAATGTACTGTTGAATTCAATTTGCTAGTATCTTGTTGAGAATTTTTGCATTCATGTTCATCAGGGATTGGCCTGTAATTCTCCTTTTTAGTGGGGTCTTTGTCTGGTTTTGGAATCAAGGTAATGCTGGCCTTGTAGAATTAATCTGGAAATTTTCCTTCCATTTTTATTTTTTGAATTTTTTGACTCATAGAATTCCCCTGGGAAGCCATCTAGCCCTGGACTTTTGTTTGTTGGGAGATTTTTTATTATTGTTTCAATTTATTTGTTGGTTATGGGTCTGTTCAAAATTTCTATTTCTCTCTGCTTCAGTTTTGGTAGTTCATAGGTTTCTAGGAATTTATCCATTTCTTCTAGATTGCCCAGTTTGTTGGTGTATACTTTTCATAATATTCTCTTATAATTGTTTGTACTTCTGTGGTGTTTTTCATTCATGATTTTATGTATTTAGGTTCTTTCTCTTTTCTTTTTGATAATCTGGCTAGGGGTTTATCAATTTTCTTAATTCTCTCAAAGAACCAGCTGTTAGTTTTGTTGATCTGTCCTAGTGTGTTTTTTTTTTTTTTTGTTTATTTCTATATGACTTATTTGTGCTCTGATCTTTATTATTTTTCTTTTGCTGCTGGCTTTAGTCTTTACTAACTGTTCCTTTCCTAGCTCTTTTAGGTATAAAGTTAGGTTATGTATTTGAGACTTTTTTTGCTTCTTGGGGTAAGCCTGTATTACAATGTACTTCCCTCTTAAGACTACCATTGCTGCACCCCAAAGGTTTTGGACTATCTTGTTTTCATTTTCATTTGCTTCCATATAATTTTTTATTTCTTCTTCAATTTCCTAGTTAACCCATTCATTATTTAGTAAAATGTCCTTTAACCTCCGTGTATTTGTGGTCTTTCCAAATTTTTTCTTGTGGTTGATTTCAATCTTCCTAGTTTGTGGTCAGAAAATATGAATGGTATAATTTCAATCTTTTTGTACTGGTTGAGGGTGGATTCATGACCCAGTATGTGATCAGCTCTGGAGAATGTTCCATGTGCATTTAAGAATGTGTCTTCGGTTGCTTTAGGATGAAATGTTCTGAATATATCTATGAAGTTCATTTGATCCAATGTGTCATTCAAAGTCATTGTTTCTTTGTTGACTTTCCGCTTAGAAGATCTGTCCATTGCTGTAAATGGGGTGTTAAAGTCCCCTACTATTATTGTATTATCATCAATGAGCTTTATGTTTGTTATTAATTGATTTGTATATTTGGGTGCTCCCAAGTTGGTGGCATAAATATTTACAATTGTTAAGTGTTCTTGATGAATAGACCACTTAATTATGATATAATGGCCTTCTTCATCTCTTGTTATAGTCTTTAGTTTAAAATCTAGTTTGTCAGGCAGCCCTGGTGGCTCAGCGGTTTAGCACTGCCTTCAGCCCAGGGCATGATCCTGGAGACCTGGGATTGAGTCCCATGTCAGGCTCCCTGCATGGAGCTTGCTTCTCCCTCTGCTTGTGTCTCTGCCTTTCTTTCTTTCTCCTCTCTGTGTATTCTAATGAATGAATAAATAAAATCTGAAAAAAAAATTAAATAAAATCTAGTTTGTCTGATATAAGGATGGCTCCTCCGGCTTTCTTTTGGCATACATTAGCATGATAGATGGTTCTCTCTCCCCTCACTTTCAATCTACAGATGTGTTTAGATCTAAAATGAGTCTTCTGGGATCCCTGGGTGGCGCAGCGGTTTGGCGCCTGCCTTTGGCCCAGGGCGCGATCCTGGAGACCCGGGATCGAATCCCACATCGGGCTCCCAGTGCATGGAGCCTGCTCCTCCCTCTGCCTCTCTCTCTTTCTCTCTCTGTGACTATCATAAATAAATAAATAAATAAAATAAAATGAGTCTTCTGTAAGCAGCATGTGGATAGGTCTTTTTTTTTTTCTAATTTATTCTGATATCCTCTGTTTTTCATTGGAGTATTTAGTCCATTTATGTTCAGAGTGATTATTGAAAGATAGGAATTTAGCACTATTGTGTTGCCTGTAAAGGTGGTGTTTCTGATGATGTTCTCGGTTCCTTCTAGTCTTTGTTGCTTTTGGTCTTTTTTCCCCCCCACTCAAAGAGTTCCCCTTAATATTTCTCGTAGGGCTAGTTTAGTGGTCACAAACTCCTTTGGTGTTTGTTTGGGAAACTCTTTAGTTCTTTTTCTATTCTGAATGACAGCCTTGCTGGATAAAGTGTTCTTGGATGCAGATTTTTCCCATTCAGCATGTTGAATATATCCTGCATTTCTCTTCTGGCCTGCTAAATTTCTGTGAACAGATCTGCTGTGAACCTGATCTGTCTTTCTTTGTAGGTTAAGGACTTTTTTCCTATTGCTGTTTTTAGCATTCTTCCCTTGTCTGTGTATTTTGTGAATTTGACTATGACATGCTTTGGCAATGGCTAGCTTTTGTTGAATTTAATGGCAATTCTCTGTGCTTCTTGGATTTTGATGTCTGTATCCTTCTATAGATTAAGGAAATTTCCAGCTATAATTAGCTCAAATGAATCTTCTGCCCCTTTTTCTTTCTTTATATCTTCTGAGACTCCTGTGATACCAATGTTATTGCATTTTAATAAGTTGCTAGGTCCCTTAATTCTCTTATATATTAACTTTGTTTCCCCCTTTTCATTATTTTCCATAATTGTATCTTCTATACCATTGATATATTCCTGTGTTTCATCCATCCTCATTGTTATGGCATCCATTTGCATTTGCATTTCAGTTATAGCATTTTAAATTTTGGCTTGACTAGCTTTTGGCTCTTTATCTCTGCAGGAGGGAATTCTCTAGCATCTTCTATGCTTTTATTCAAGCCCAGTTAGTATCCTTATAATTGTTTTATTTATTTATTTTTAAAGATTTATTTATTTTATTTATTTATGATAGACATAGAGAGAGAGAGAGAGAAAGAGAGAGAGGCAGAGACACAGGAGGGAGAAGCAGGCTCAATGCTGGGAGCCCGACACGGGACTCGATCCAGGGACTCCAGGATCGTGCCCTGGGCCAAAGGCAGGAGCTAAACTGCTGAGCCACCCAGGGATCCCCCCTTATAATTGTTTTAAAACCTAGTTCAGACATCTTACTTATATCTGCATTGATTAAATCCCTGGCCATCATTTCTTCCTGGTCTTTCCTTTGGGGTGAATTCCTCTGTCTTATCATTTTGGAGGTCAAAAAAAGCAAAATAAAATAAAATTTAAATTTAAAATTAGAAAATAAATAAATAAAGGAAGCTAGGTGTGTTTTGATTTGCTTGTTAAGAGATGCTTGATAAGATAAGAAGCTTTTGCACAGCAAAGGATACAGTCAACAAAACTCAAAGACAACCTACAGAATGGGAGAAGATATTTGCAAATAACATATCAGATAAAGGGCTAGTTTCCAAAATCTATAAAGAACTTATTAAACTCAACACCAGGCGGACGGCTGCGCCCGGCGGGGAGCGCGGGGGGCACGGGGGGCGCGGGGGGCGCGGCTGTGCGCAGGCGCCGGGTGGGGGCCCGAGAAGCCGCGGCTCCGCACGCGCCGACCCCTGAGGCGCGGGGGCCGCTGCCGAGGTGCGCGGCCACTTGCCCGGCGACGCCGTCGCGCGCCGACCTCTCCCGGCGTCCCCGCGCTGACGCCCCGGGCCCCCGGGCCCCCGGGCCCAGGTCGTGGGGGCCGAGCGAGCGACCTTGCCGGGTGTGATGTGGGCGCCCTGGCCGGTGGCCGTCGCCGCGGGATCCCAGGCCGCTGGCGCGGAGCCTCGGCCTGACGCGTGCTGAGAAGGGAGATGAAGGAATAGACGACCGGAGTGAGGTGGCTTTCCCCGTCACCCTGGCGTCCGATTGTCCTGGGGACACGGCGTGAGAAGGAAGAATGGTATACAAATGAAAAAAGTATCAACCTATATGATTTGAATATGGCAAGACAAGAATAAGTGCTGCTTTCACGATTGCTTGAATTCAGGACTTTACACTGGAAGGAAAGTTAGCTGTAAGCTCTAATTTCTTAGTTCTAATAAGCATCTCTCCTTGGGAACCGGACATTTAAAAAAAAAGGAGTCCTTTGAAGAATGTACTTCTTAAATCAACCCCAGCTTCTCCTCCATACAAAGAACTCTTACTGATACTAGCAGAAAAGAAGCAAATTAAACTAAAAGCTCACCTGCAAAACTAAAAGCTCACTTGCAAATCAGAAGAACAAAGAAATGGAGTTTTGAGGAGTGAAGGTAGCATGGCGTCGGCCATGGGTGATCAAGACACAGCCAGACAATGTGGATCAGTTTCTTCAAACTACGGCTTTTCTGCTGTCTGCTTGCAGTGTTGATGGTGGTGGTGCTGGTCATCAATGTTACTCAGGTTGAGTACTTGGACCATGAGACTGTTGCAGCCACATTCATCGATAGTAGCGGACAGTTTGTTTCCTCCCAGATGACAGGAATTAGCCGGAATCCTTACTGTGGCTACGAGCATCAGACTCTGTCCAGTCGGGAGCGCATGGAGGAGGACTCCTTGCTGGCCGCCTTACAGTGGCAGGTGCCTGATGTGGGTCCAGTCCCCTTTTTAAAGAGCACTGACCCTTCTTCCAGCTACTTTGTTATCTTGAACTCTGCAGCCTTCTTCAAGGTGGGAAGCCAACTAGAAGTGCTGGTTCATGTACAGGATTTTCAAAGAAAGCCCAAGAAATATGGTGGAGACTACCTGCAGGCCAGAATCCACTCCCCTAAGCTGCAGGCAGGGGCTGTGGGCAGAGTGGTAGACTACCAGAATGGGTTTTACAAGGTCTTTTTTACTTTGCTCTGGCCAGGCAAAGTTAAAGTGTCCATATCTCTGGTCCACCCGACTGAAGGGATCAGAGTTCTTCAGCACCTACAGGAAGAGAAGCCACACAGGGTCTATTTCAAGAGTCTCTTTCGTTCAGGAAGAATTTCTGAAACCACGGAGTGCAATGTGTGTCTTCCTGGGAGTCTGCCCTTGTGTAACTTTACAGATCTCTACACTGGAGAACCCTGGTTCTGCTTCAAACCAAAGAAGCTCCCTTGCAGCAGCAGAATTAACCATTTCAAAGGAGGATACCTGAAGGGCCTTCTGACTACTGCAGAGAATGCTTTCTTCCAGAGTGGTGTCAATATCAAAATGCCAATCAACTCCAGTGGACCTGATTGGGTGACTGTGATTCCCACGAGCATCAAAGAAACGAAGAATTCAGAACTATCTCAAGGCTCAGGAATTTTTCCTTCTGGGTATTATTATAAAGATCAATGGAGGCCCAGAAAGTTTAAGATGCGCCAGTTCAATGACCCTGACAACATTACAGAATGCTTACAAAGAAAAGTGGTATATTTATTTGGTGACTCAACAATCAGGCAGTGGTTTGAATACCTTACTGCCTTTGTTCCAGATTTAGTGGAGTTTAACTTGGGTAGTCCCAAGAATGTGGGTCCTTTCCTTGCGGTGGACCAGAAGCACAACATCCTGCTCAAGTATCGCTGCCATGGTCCACCCATCCGTTTTACAACTGTCTTTAGCAGTGAGCTCCGTTATGTGGCAAATGAGCTGAATGGCATCGTGGGAGGGAAGAACACGGTGGTTGCCATAGCTATATGGTCTCATTTCAGCACCTTCCCCTTGGAAGTGTATATCCGGCGGCTTAGGAATATCCGTCGAGCAGTGGTCCAGCTCCTGGATCGAAGCCCTAAGACCGTGGTAGTCATCCGAACAGCTAATGCCCAAGAGCTGGGGCCTGAGGTGAGCCTTTTCAACAGTGACTGGTACAACTTTCAGCTGGACACTATCCTTCGGAAGATGTTCTCAGGGGTTGGAGTGTATCTTGTTGATGCCTGGGAGATGACCTTGGCTCATTATTTACCCCACAAGCTACATCCAGATGAAGTTATTGTGAAGAACCAGCTAGACATGTTCTTGTCCTTTGTGTGCCCCTTGGAGACCTAGCCTGCCCTGGAGGGGGACTGGAGGAATCACATGACCTGCATTACAGGAAGTTAATGGCTGGTCCCATGGAGAGATGGCTGCTATGGACATGTACAAAATTTCAAAAAGAACTGGACTTTATGTAAGACTTACAAGGAGCTTGGAAAATGCAGGTTGCACTTATATCTACCTATAGGATTTCTTCCAATCTTTACATAGCCATGGGAGAACCATTATGAACAACATCTACTCACTGTATTGCCCTGGTAACCAAAGATGCTAATGAGTGGGTTTGAATTAGCCTCTCCTGAGAGGGGAGATTACTATGCTAAAACATGTGAAAAATGTTCTGAACTAAATGGTGGGTAGTGGAGTGTTTGCAGCTTATCTGGTCAAGGAGATTGAGCTTATCTGTATGAATAGCACAGTTGGTCCATCTTGAGTGGGATGAACTCCTGAGGCTTATGGTTGGTGGCTCCTGTAGCACGCTGAAAATTGCTGTGTCTCAGGAGTTTCTCTTGATGATTCACCTTTTCTGAAGTGCTCAAAAAGGCCAGTATCCTTGATTAGAATTTTCTTGTGAGAATATATTTACGACATCCTGCTTTTATCTAGAAGAGAAGCAAAAGGAAAATATGAAAGCAGTACACAAAATCTGTGTGTTGAATTGATACCTGCCCTGGGTGATTGTTACTTATTTCACCTACATTTTACATGATGAATACTTTAGAATAACCACTTTTGGAGCTGGAAGGGGGAATCTATAAATGGAAATTTATTTTTGTGTTTTGAAGTTTGAGGGTTTTAAGAACTGACTGTTATGTAAACAATACTGATGTTTACGTACATCAATTTCAAGTGTTTCTTTTTTTGGTTGTTATTTTGAATTGCATACCAACATTAGAAATTGAAATCTAAATCTAATTAGAAATTAAAGTTATATATTGAGATCTAGAACAGGTATTTATTAAGGTACACGCATTCTTTCATGCTTGGAAATAAAAAACTATTCCTACTGGCTATCTTAAAAAAAAAAAAAATAAACTCAACACCAAAGAAACAAACAATCCAATCATGAAATGGGCAAAAGACATGAAGAGAAATCTCACAGAGGAAGACATAGACATGGCCAACATGCACATGAGAAAATGCTCTGCATCACTTGCCATCAGGGAAATACAAATCAAAACCACAATGAGATACCACCTCACACCAGTGAGAATGGGGAAAATTAATAAGGCAGGAAACAACAAATGTTGGAGAGGATGCGGAGAAAAGGGAACCCTCTTACACTGTTGGTGGGAATGTGAACTGGTGCAGCCACTCTGGAAAACTGTGTGGAGGTTCCTCAAAGAATTAAAAATAGACCTGCCCTACGACCCAGCAATTGCACTGTTAGGGATTTACCCCGAAGATTCAGATGCAATGAAACGCCGGGGCACCTGCACCCCGATGTTTCTAGCAGCCATGTCCACAATAGCCAAACTGTGGAAGGAGCCTCGGTGCCCATCGAAAGATGAATGGATAAAGAAGATGTGGTTTATGTATACAATGGAATATTACTCAGCCATTAGAAACAACAAATACCCACCATTTGCTTCAACGTGGATGGAACTGGAGGGTATTATGCTGAGTGAAGTAAGTCAATCGGAGAAGGACAAACAGTGTATGTTCTCACTCATTTGGGGAATATGAATAATAGTGAAGGGGAATATAAGGGAAGGGAGAAGAAATGTGTGGGAGATATCAGAAAGGGACACAGAACATAAAGACTTCTAACTCTGGGAAATGAACTAGGGGTGGTGGAAGGGGAGGAGGGCGGGGGGTGGGGGTGAATGGGTGACGGGCACGGAGGGGGACACTTGACGGGATGAGCACTGGGTGTTATTCTGTATGTTGGTAAATTGAACACCAATAAAAATTAATTTATAAAAAAAAAAAAAGAGATGCTTGATAGAAAAAAGATAAAAAATTTAAAAATTTTTAAAAATTGCTTTCTGTATCCAAAAAACAAAATGAAAACAAAAACCTGAACAAGCAAACAAAAAACAAAGGAGGCTTAATCCTGTTTCCCCTAGAGATGAAGATTTGCAGCACTCTGCAGAGATCAGTAGATGGTGTAGGTGAGGGGAGACAATCTCCTTCTCAGGGAGGAGAGTGCTGTTCTGATTCTCTGGTGTATTTGCCCTAGTGGAGTTGGGTCTCCAGGGGTCAGGGGAGTAGGGCTTGGTGTACGGGCTCCCTCCACTTTGTGGCATTGTTTAGCTCACTGAAGTGGATCAGTGCTGGTGGGAAAGGGGTGAAAATAGCTTTGTCCCCCTTTCTCATCTCTGGAGTGGGAAACACCCACAACTCTTCAGGAAGCCCTTATAGATGTGCAAACAGTCACCCCTCCAGTGTCCCTAGCTTTATCAGATCCCTGCCTTTACCTGTCCTTGACCAAGTTGTCCACCTGCCAGGCAGCATAGCACTCCTGTGTTTTATCTCAGGTGTGGCTGTGTTTCAGAACCTCACACTTCAGAGACCCCCATGGTGCAGACCTGAACTGATCCTCTATGGGAGGGTCTCGCCAAGCTGTGACTGATACAGGGTCAACCCAGAAAATAGTCACATGACAACAGATCAATTTGGGGTTTATGGTAAATCAAAACAGACAATTGGCACCAGGGTTTGCTGCCCTCAACCAGCATCTTTGCTCCTATGCTGGTGAGCTGGGCAGCTCAATGGCACCCATAGGGTCTTTTGCCCACAGAAAGGCCATATCACCTCTACCAAATGCACTCCAAGCAGGGAACTGCTTCTCCCTGTTGACCCAAGGGATCCTCATCCCACGCTGCCTGCTCCTGGGGCTCTGGCCTGCTTCCTCACCAGATCCTGGCTATAGTACTGACTTCCAAAGACTATGGTACTGGCTATGGTACTGACTTCCAAAGACTCAGACTTAATGCTCCACTATTTATAAAAAAAAACTGGTGGTATTGAAACCCTCTCCTTTTTCTCAGTCAATGGTTTTGGAGATCAGTTTTCTTGTGCAGTACTCTGCACATGTTTTCTTTCTCTCTCTCTCTCTCTCTCTCTCTCTCTCTCTCTCTCTCTTTTCCACTCCCTCTGTGATCAGGGCTCCCTCCCCTGTGCAACACCCAAGGCTCTTTCATCCCACAAATCAACTCTGCAGTTCCTATCTTCCATGGGTTGTTTTTCTGCTTATAGATGTGCAGCTTTGTTCTTTAAGACTTCTAGTCAAATTCTTGGGTGTTCAGAATGATTTGATATTTATCTGTGTTCAAGAGAGGAGGCAAGCTTAGGGATTCCTATTCCTCTGCCATCTTAACCATCTCTTTCTCTAGTTTTTTGATCTGGAATTTAAGTGATTTATTTAAAGTCTTATTTTTATTGATAAAAATGTTTAAGATTATGGGTTTTTCTATCATCATTGCTTTATTTTTTTTTAAAGAATTTATTTATTTATTCACAAGAGACACACAGAGAGGCAGAGACACAGGCAGAGGGAGAAGTAGGCTCCATGCAGGGAGCCGGATGTGGGACTTGTTCCGGGGACCCCGGGATCATGCCCTGAGCCGGAACAACGGGGACCCCGGGATCATGCCCTGAGCCAAAGGCAGAGGCACTCAACCACTGAGCCACCCAGGCGTCCCTGATCATTGCTTTAAGTGTATGTCACATATTCCGGCACATTGTTTGTATTATCATTATGTTTTAGAAATTTTATACTTTTAGTTTAAATTTTTTCCTTTCATTCCCAAGTCCTTTTTTATTTTATTTTTTAAAAGATTTTTATTTATTTATTCATGATAGACATAGAGACAGAGAGAGGTAGAGACACAGGCAGAGGGAGAAGCAGACTCCATGCCGGGAGCCCGATGCAGGACTCGATCCCGGGATCCCAGGATTCCACCCTGGGCCAAAGGCAGGTGCTAAACTGCTGAGCCACCCAGGGATCCCTCCTTTTTTATTTTTATTGTGGTTAACAATTTTTTATTTTATTCCTTTGTGAGCAGAGACTGTTGTTTGCAATATATCTTCTTTTTTTTAGTTCAGTAATGGAAATTAAGAAAATAATATTTGCACTCAAATATGTCTTAGATTTTTCATTACACCCTGCACATTGGTTGATACCTTGATTGTTATACTTTTAAGTATGTGTGATGGTCATTTACCAGCTTCATGGTCCTTTCATTTTTATTACTACTGAGACACTCAATAAGCCACTCATAATTCCCAGACTCCTCTGTAATTAAGCCCTTCTGATTGGATACACTAGCTTAATGACCCATTCTCCCTCATTATTTAAGCTTGTTTCAGTTCTTCTGAAAACTAATCTTATACATAATAACATTCAAAACAACACTTGTATTCTACAACTGGTTCATCAAATCATTCTATACATGTTAGGCTCCTATAATATGCCAGCCATAGTTCCAAGTACTGGGGACGCAGTTGTAAATAAGAAAGCCAGGAACTGTCACCATTTATTTTTCTTTCCTCACATTTAACACAATTCATAGTTTAAAATGGTTTGGCTGTTTACTCTCTGTATTTATTCATGAATAAAAGGACCATGTTTTTGTTCACTATTGAACCTCCAGCACTTAATACAATGGGTATCATATGGTTGACAGTCAATACCATGTATTAAATGAATCTATAGATCTTTCTGTATTTATTTATTTTTAAAAAGATTTTATTTATTTATTCATGAGAGACAGAGAGAGAAAGGCAGAGACACAGGCAGGCTCCATGAAGGGAGCCTGACATGGGACTTGATCCCGGGACTCCAAGACCATGCCCTGGGCTGAAGGCAGGCACTAAACCACTGAGCTATCCAGGGATCCCCCATCTGTATTTATTTTTATATTTTATATTCCAGAATAGTGGAAACTAGTTACTATTATACACGCAAATTTTTTTTCACTTCAACTGTAAATATTTCTTACACAGGTGTTGTCTGAAATCCATCCTGAGGGAATATCATGATAGACAGGGAGGACTTCATATTCTATTCAGGCACACATTCCAGTTTTTTAAACTTTGAATAAATGAGTTCATTTTTATTTTCTTATCTAGGGATTAGAAAGCTTGGAAGCAACTGGCACCTGTGCAGTCATCCTGACATGGATGGGCTGTGGCCCATTAGGAGGCCTGTGCTGAGGACATTCTGTTGGAGTCTGTAACAGAGATAGAAGGAACTCAAGTTAAGAGTTAGTCTTTTCATGACACTGAAACAAAAGCAATTGTCTTTCCCAGGAGGATTTAAGAAGAGCAAAAAGTTTCAGAACTTTAAAACCATCTGAAAGTGCCTTTTTGATATACCTACTTTGAAAGGATGCCTGGGGTTGCTCCACTTG